ATTTTAACATTAATTTTTTAAAATTCTGAATTCTAAATTCTATCCCTACTTCCTTCCTCTTTCCCCTCATTGGGAAAGCAAGTAATGCAATACAGGTTATACATATGCAGTCATGAAAAACACATTTCATATTACTCACATTGTGAAAGAAAAGAGATAAAAAACAAACAAGAAAAATAAACAAAGGTTTTTAAGAGGTATGCTTTGATCTGACTTCATATTGCATCAGTTCTTTCCCTGGAGGTGGAAAGTATTTTTCGTCATAAATCCTTTGGAACTGTCTTCGATCGTTGTATGGTTGAGACTAGCTGTCACTTAGTTGATTATTATACAATATTGCTGTTACTGTGTACAATGTTCCCCTGATTTAGCTCCTTTCACTTTGAATCAGTTTATGTGAGTCTTTCCAGCTTTTTCTGACAGTATCCTGCTAGTTATTTCTTATAACATGAGTGTCCACAACTGCACCGATGGTGCATTAATATCTCAGTTTTCCCACATCTTGAACATTTGTCTTTTTCCTTTTCTGTCATATTAGCCAATCTGATAAGTGTGAAGTGGTACTTCAGAGTTGTTTTAATTTGCATTTCTCTCATCAATAGTGATTTGAAGCATTTTATAGGACTATTAATACCTTTTATTACTTCATCTGAAAACAGCCTATTCTTATTCTTTGACCATTTATCAACTGAGGAATGATCTATACTATAAATTTAACTCAGTTCTCCATGGAATTGACATATAAGGCCTCTATCAGAGAAATTTTTGCTGTAATTTTATCATAGTATTGATTACGGTATATTTCCCTCCATCCTATTTTCCCCATTTATCTTTCTCTCTCCTTTCACTATGTCCGTCTTCAAAAGTCTTTTGCTTCTGTCTGCTGCCTTCCCAATCTACACTCCCTGCTATTAGCCTCTCCTTCTCTTATCCCTTTTTCCTTCCACTTTCCTGTGTGGTAAGATAGATTTCTATAATGAATTTAGTGTGTATGTTATTCCTTCTTTGAGCTAATTCCAGGAAGAGTAAGCTTCAAGCACTCCCCTTTCTATCCCTATTTCCCTCCACTTGAAAGTTATAACCTCATTGAGTCCCTTATGATTTACCTTTCCTTTAACCTTTTTTTTTTCCTTCTCTTGAGTCTTGTGTTTGAAAAGCAAATGTTCTATTCGACTGTGCGCTTTTCCTCAGGAATGTTTGAAAGGCCTCTAATTCCCTAAATGTCCATTTTTCACCTGAAGAATTAGACTTAGTTTTGGTAGGTAGTTGATTCTTGGTTGAAATCTAGCCTCTTTGCCCTTCTGAATAAAATAGTCCAAATCTAATCCTTTAAAGTGTAAGTTGATAAATCTTGTGTTATCCTGTCTGTTTTCCCCGATATTTGAACTGTGCTAACTGCTTTACAGTTATATCATTTGCTTCTCACAAAAACAACCCTGGGAACTGGTGCTATTATCGTCCCCCATTTTACTGATAAGGAAAGTGAGTCAATCATAAGTTAAGTAAATTGCCCAGGGTAACACAACTAGTAAGTGTCAGAAGTTAGATTTGAACTAAAGTCTTCCTAAGTCCCATTATGGCATGCATCCACTGTGCCACCTCGCGCCCCAAAAGGGGGAAGAGAAAGAGATACACAGGCACAGAGCCAGAGAAGACATAAGAGAAAAAGAAAGACAGAGAAAGAGACAAAAAGAGCCAGAGAGAGAAAAGATGGAGGTAGAGAGATAGATAGGATAGGTCAGCAGATGTCCAGTTTTTGAGTCTCCAATCACTATTATTTCATATCTCCTCTCCCTAACTCCTTGCTTGTTTCCTCTTTCCATCTAGGTAAACAATGATGATATTGTTTCTATTCCCCTCTGTTGATCTCATTCCAGTGGCTCCCTTTTGCTTTTCCTCTTTCTGGAATTTCTTCACATGCTACTACTTACCCCCTTCCCCTTATCTGTGCTTTGTCCTTTCCTTTGAATACTGTATACTCATTGTTCATGGATCTCATCCTTCCATGTCTGCTGATACAAAAAGTAAAATTTCCTCATCCTGGAGAATCAAAAATTCCCCTTGCCTGTCAAATACTTTGTGAACAAGTTTTTAGAGATCTGAGGCCATGCATTGTTGTGGGATCTTTCCATAGACTTGACCTCCTGTCAATTCAAGGTGTATTTTGCTACTATTGTTCCCACACTGTAGCTACCACTATACTTAAAATGTATTAAAAAAACCTGCATAGGTAGTTTTATTTTCCCCCCTTTTCCTTTTCAACTTAAAGCCCTTTTTAAAAAGATTTCAAAGACTCCAGTCATATACACCCTTACAGCCCATATGAGGTGAATGTTATCCCTAACCAGGAGGTTGTCATTCTTCAAGTTTAAACCATAGTCCAGAAATCCAAATCTTTCCTCATTTGTACAAAACCTTCTATTTTGCCCACTTCAGTTATGTGAGATAAAGCATTCCCAATCAGTCTCTCACTTTTTTCCCTAGAGTATTCCTCTTTCCTTCTTTTTTCTTTCTTCTTTGGTGGTCATAAATACATAACAAAAACACTTTCATGCCCTCCATTTATTTAATAGCCTCTATGACCTTTCAGTGCATTAGGAGTTTGAGGAGACTTATAGCATCTTTCCCTTAGCTTCTAAAGTATGGTTCATCCTTCCTTTCTGAAGAACCAATGACATCTTGGGGTGATATCTTGACTTGTTCATGAATTGTATTTAAATGAAGGTGTCACTCTCTCCTTCAGCAAAAGTTTGGGGCAAGATAAAAGTCAGGAAGACTGGTGATGGCCCAGGACATATTAAATGGCCTTGGCAGCTTTGATGTCTGACTAAGATCCAGCTGCCTTCATGGCCATTGCAACAAATTGTTTTCATCCACTCATTCCACAAGGGGAAGTCTTCATATGCATTGGGTTGACACCCCCTAAGTCACAAATGAATATCAGGCCTGTCAATTACCCTCAACTTGATTTAGCTGGTCAGCCAAGATGGTTTTAGCAGAATTTGGCCATAGCGCATGCTGCAGCTTCTTGGGGTCTACAGGTGAGCGGTGTAAATACTGTATCCCTGTATAGTCCCTTCAGACTACTCACTGTTATTTCTCTGTGTACCTAGGTATGTAGGTATATAGATCACTGGGCTTGGAATCAGGAAGACTCCTTCTGAGTTCAAATCTGGCCTCAGACACTTACTAGCTGTGTGTCCCTGGGCAAGTCACTTAACCCTGTTTGACTCAGTTCCTCATCTGTTAAATAATCTGGAGAAGGAAATGACGGACTGCTCCAGGATCTTGGCCAAAAAAGCCCAAAAGAGGTCACTGAGAGGTGAGAAAGTGGCCTATAGGTAGATAGTTTTTTCTAGGAGTTTGGCCATGGAAAGGAAAAAGAGAGATGAAGGCAATATAATTGAGACTGAACAGAGCATGTAGAGGGATTCCCAGGTGGCTTTGCTGCTGGCCATGTGTGACTCAGCACTTTTGTGCCTCTAAGATGAAGAGCCAGTCATGCAGGACTCACATGTCCTGAGCACCCCAAAAGTTGAAGCAAACCTGTTGTTAACTCAGTAGAAATTCAAAAAAGCATACTTTGTCCTTTCAAAGTTATAAGAGTTCTGCGTAAAATATAGACAGTAAGATTCAGCCAGGGAATCTCTGAGAATGAGATTTCTTTTTTGTTTAGTTTTGTTTTAAGGATTAGGGAGAAGCGCATTTTACTGTAAGCAGTAGGATAGGAATCAAAGGATTTAAGAAAATTGAAAATTAGGGAAAGACAGGGGAGGTTAGAGGGTGCAACATCTCAGGAGAGAGATGGGGGGGAGATCAAAGGCCAAAGTAGTGGGGTTAGTGGATACACAAAAAATCCTAACTACTTTTTTTTCTCTCCACCTCCTCTGCCATATTAGAACAAAAGTAAGGAAGTATGTGTGTGATGATGGAGAGGTGATTGAGAATAAAGAATTTTAGAAAAGAATAAATTAGCAATACCTAATCTCAGTTTTTTCAGTGATGTATTAAGTTCAGTGTTACGTTGAGAGCAAAGCAGTGAGATGACAGGAGAGGCCCCAGTAAAGAAGAGAAATCTTAGAATAGATGCTGAAAGGAGAGGGTAGTCAGTTGGGGCAGAGATCTGTGTTCACTTGCAAGGTTATAGTAACAGACAAGGGAAGTGGTGAGAATAATTTCTTGCTAGAATTCAGTAAAGTAATGCGTGTCCCCATAGGACAAAGGGATGTGTGATTTAAAAGTGGAGAGCAAGTTGAGTTGGAACTGGCTCACTATTGGGTCAAGGTGCTGAAAGGAGGAAAGTGAAATGAGAAATGTAGTGAGGACCTAAAGCATTGATGAATGGACTCACCCCACTGATCAAAGTATCATAGATGGAGACTCATTAGGGAATTCTGAGCCTATGTAGTTCAACCAATTCATTGTAGAGATGAAGAATCTGATGTGAGATCAAATGAAGTGACTTGCCCAAGACCACACCAGTTGTTATCATTAGGGGCAGGATTGATCTCAGGTCCTCTGCTCCCAAAGCCAGGAATCCTTCCCTGTTACCACATTGTCTTCGAAGTCATGAATCCTCAGTGTATGGAACTAAAAAGACATATTTGCATATCTGGAGTTATTAGCAACATAGCCCTGTTCATTCTACCCCAAATTCACAAACAAGAGCTATATAATCCAAAATAGGATCATCTGTGAGGAAACATGAAAAGAAAAGTACAAAAACATATGGTTTGGAGGCCAGATGTTTTACAGAACTTCCTCCACACCCTAAATCTAGAATTGAGGATTTGCCTGGAAGTATTGGTGCAAGGGTTGCACATGAATATCTATAATGCAGCCCCATCACATAATGACATTGAAGATACTCAACAAGGCTGTCATGTTTCTGAAATTTAAAACTGATTTTAATCAAGAGGTAGGAATTTTTCTTTCCCTCACAGTGATTCCAGAAAAACACATGAGAGTATTCAGTACAGAAGATGAATCAGCTTGCTAATTCACCAAATCAACTTTGTGTTCTTCTTAGTGAGGAAGAAAGCATAGTAATGTGGTGGAACTTTGGTGAATAAAACACGATTGGGCTTTAGGCTAATTTCATTTGGATCTCCAACTGGTTTGAGAGTGAAGTTCTGTAGAATGGTGATAAGGAATAAAAACAACTCCATCCTTGCCAGGCCCTCTCCAACACAAGACTGTTTTCCTGCAAAGAAACAGAATTGTGCTTCGTAATCTTCATGGATTATCACATTCAGCCAGAGTGAAACAGACTTGATGATCCAGCACAATAATGGGAAAAGGAGTAAAACAGAAATATGTAGATGGTCAGAAATGGTGAGAACTGTTATTATTAGTTATAATTCAACCATTGACGGCTGTAAGGAGAAGGAAGGAATTCCTTCTTCACAACATTCTTCTCACAGTAACCCCTTGTGTAGTGGATCTTGCAATGGAGACAGAATTCCACTAAAATAAGAGGACAGGTGAGGCAGCCAAGAGGCTCAGCTCATCTATTCAGGGCTCTGAGAAAAAGTCAGGTCATGGGAATACTAGAAAAGACAGTGTGTGACATGTGAGAGTGGGCTAAGTGTCTTCAGAAGAACTGCCAAGGAGGCTCATCCAGAGAAGAGTGGGAGGGAGAACAGGATTCTCCTTTAGAGTGAGAGGTAGAGATGAGAAGGGTTTTTTACCAACAGAAAAAGGCATGAAGTGGTCACTTTTCTTGAATTTCCCATTCTTATCCAGGAAGTGCTGTGGGTCAAACTGGACAGCCTTGGAAAACTCTTTGTTGTCATGCCAGACTGGGGTGAGCTCTGGGAATATTGTTGTGTCCTAAAGGGAAGAAATTCCAGAGGAGAGTCAGATATCATTATGAATATCCTTTGTATTCTAGTCCTAAAAATCTTCAGTGACTAACTATGTTCTCTACTACAAAATGCATACTTCTTTGCCTGTGCTATCAACTGAGATGTCAAGCCATTAAGAATCTGCTTAGTTTTCTATCTTCCTTATAATCTTAGTTGCATTGGCTTTGTTTGTGCAAAAACTTTACAATTTAATGTAATCAAAATTATCCATTTTGCTTTCCATAATTTTCTCTATCTCCTGTTTAGTCATGAATTCTTCTGTTCTCCATAAATCTGATAGGTAAACTATTCCTTGTTCTCCCAGTTTACTTATGGTATCAGCCTTTATGTCTAACTCATGAACCCATTTTGACTTTACTTTGGTATATGGTGTGAGATTTGGGTCTATGCCTAGTTTCTGCCATACTCTTTTCCAGTTTTCCCAGCAGTTTTTTTTCAAAGAGTGGATTCTTATCCCAGAAGCTGGGGTCTTTGGGTTTATCAAATAATAGATTACTATAGTCATTGACTACTGTGTCTTGCATATTTAACCTATTCCACTGATCCTCCTCCCTATTTCTTAGCCAGTACCAAGCAGTTTTGATGATTGCTGCTTTATAATACAATTTAAGATCTGGAATTGCTAGGCCACCTTCCCCTGCATTTCTTTTCATTAGTTCCTTTGATATTCTGGACCTTTTGTTTTTCCAAATGAATCTTCTTATTATTTTTTCTAACTCTATAAAATAATTTTTTTTTACTTTGATTGGTATGGCACTGAATAAGTAAATTAGCTTAGGTAGGATTGTCATTTTTATTATATTAGCTCAGCCTACCCATGAGCAACTGATGTTTTTCCAATTATTTAGATCTGATTTTATTTGTGTGAAAAAGATTTTGTAATTCTGTTCATAGAGTTCCTGGGTTTGTTTCGGGAGATAGACTCCTAAATATTTTATAATGTCTGCAGTAAGTTTAAATGGATTTCTCTTTCTATCTCTTGCTGTTTGGCTTTGTTGGTAGTATATAGAAATGCTGATGATTTATGTGTTTATTTTATAGCCTGCAACTTTGCTAAAGTTGTTTATTATTTCAAGTATTTTACTTGATTCTCTAGATTCTCTAAGCATATCATCATGTCATCTGCAAAGAGTGATAGCTTTTTTCTTCTTTGCCTATTCTAATGCCTTCAATTTCTTTTTCTTCTCTTATTGCTAAAGCTAAGGTTTCCAGTAAAATATTGAATAACCGTGGTGATAATGGACATCCTTGTTTCACCCCCGATCTTATTGGAAATGCTTTTATCCTGTCTGCATTACATATAATGCTTGCTGAAGGTTTTAGATATATGCTATTTATTATTTTAAGGAAGACTCCATTTATACCTATGCTTTCTAGTGTTTTTAATAGGAATGGGTGTTGTATTTTATCAAAAGCTTTTTCTGCATCTATTGAGATGATCATGTGGTTTCTGTTGGTTGTGTTGTTGATATACTCAATTATGCTGATAATTTTCTTAATATTGAACTAACCCTGCATTCCTGGTATAAATTCTACCTGGACATAGTGTATTGTTCTTGTGATAAGTTGCTGCAGTCTATTTGCTAGTATTTGAATGTAATGGAATACTATTGTGCTATAAGAAATGATGAACAGGCTGACTTCAGAAAAAGCTGGAAAGACTTATCTGGTCTGATGCTGAGTGAAGTGAGCAGAACCAAGAGGACTTGGTACACAATAACAGCCACATTATGCAATGACTAAACTGAACCCTTCTCAGCATTACGAGGATCTAAGACATCTCCAGAGGCCTTGGGATGGAACATGCTGTCCACATCCAAAGGAAGAACTATGAAAGTCGAATCGCTATCACTTATTTTTACCTTCTGTTGAGATTTGTTTAATCTTTCTGATGGCTCCTCCTATTGGTTTTAATTTTTACTTACAACTTCACTAATGCAAAAATATGTTTAATGGGTATGTAAAGGTAAAGCCTATATCATATTGTGTACCTTCTTGGGGACGGTGGGGGGGAGGAAGGGGGAGAAAAATTTTCAACTCAAAAGCACATGGAAGTGATTGTTGATAAATCAAAATAAATTAATTAAAAAAAAAAGAATCCGCTTAGGCCCCAGTCTAGCTTTCCAGATTGCTGTCCCCATTATTGTCCCCATCAAGCCTTCCTTGGGGCTCCAGCTGAACTAGTCCAGCTGCTGATGCCCATCCACAAGGCCCCCTCTGTGGTCTTCATGCCTTTATAGTGACCATGTCCCACACCTGGAAGCCACTCCTTGCTCACTTCAGCCTTTTAGATTCCCCAGCTTTCTTCAAGGATTGGCTTGGGTAACCCTCTTACAGGAAACCTTGGCTGAGGTGCTAAGCTCTTTGTGCTCTCCCTACCCTCAGTTCTTTGGACTATACATCATGTGTGCACCTGCTGCCTGTGGGACTCTGAGCAGAACATACGAATAGCCCGTGCCCCAGGCAATGCTTAAAGACTCTAGGGGCAGACCAGGCTACCTCCTGAGGGAGTTTCTTCAGCAAGAAGCCACTTTGCCAATCAAATCACAGCTTGGGTCTGAAGGAAAGAAATAACACTTTAGGCTGACTTTTCTGATTCCAAACTCAGCTCCCTCCTGCACAAGCCAAAGTCTTCAACGGTCAAAAACCCTTCTATTCTCACCTTGTTTCAATAGCATTTGGCCTAGCAATTTTCACAGGTTGGTTCTTACTGAAGCTTTGATGATTTGAACTGAGCAATGCCTCAGTGGGGTACATTAAATGTGAAGTTAGGTGTGATGCTCCCTTCACTTTTCTTTGAGGGAGACTAGTTTTGCTCAGCCATTGCTAGGAAACTTCAATCTAATTCAATTTAATTCATTCAATGTTTATTTAGCAACCCCGGAAAGCAGTATTTTAGAGTCTAAAAACCTAGGTTATCGTCTCAGCTCCAACACTTAAATGATTTAGGCAAGCCATTAGACCTGAGCCTCAATGTCACAATCTACACAATGGAACACAAAACGGTATTTATAAAATCCGCTTCACTGCCTAGTAAGAGAAAATGACAAAAACTTTCTCTTGAGCAATCTCACCCTGTTATGTTCCCTGCATTTTCTTTCCAGAGCATTACTGGTGAATGAGAAGCAGGAAGAACAGAGATAAGGGCACACTTTTCTCTTATTCTTCATTTAGCACCACATGCAAGTAGGCTGTATGTAATAAAGCACTGCCTCAAGGAGAACTTTAAGTGAGATCATGACAATGGGACTCCAGTTTCTCATGTCCATGATGAAATCATTGGACTAAATAATGTTTAACATCCCATTCTCCCAAGACTACTAACTTTGGGGAGGATATATTCTTGGAAATGGATGTCCCAGTTCACTGCATGGGGTATGTTGAAAGGTATGAGGTCTATGAATCTTTGCACTTCATGAACCACAGCATCCATATAGGGCATATCTTGTCTGTCCTTTATGGAATGAAGTCGATTATGTCCAATCACATGTTCAATTTCCTCATGAATTTTTGCTGCAGAGACAAAAAGTACAAATCACCACTCAATGTTCCACTCTCCTGGGAATGCACAACTGAGCCTGTGTGGAATATCTGCCTGATGTTAGGACCTAAGATGATTCTCACATAGGCTCAGTATCCTCCTCCTACTCAGTCAAGGATACAAAGGCTTCTGTAACAGCAATAGGATAAACTTCCATGATTTACTGGATAGCAGTCAGAAAGAATTGTGTTTACATTTCTCTTTAGACACTATCTGTGTAAATTCAGGCAAGTCATTAAATCTATGCAAGCCTCATGTTGCTTATCTGAAAAATGAGGATCATAAATTATCTGTCTTCTAAGGTTCCATACCCCTCTAACTCTATTATCATATGATTTATAAAATGGAGATTAAAAACTGCACCTCCCTTAGCAGACATCAAATGAAATTACATGTTAAGTTATTTGTAACCCTCACATTCTTTATGATTATTATGCCAGCTTTTGTTGTCAAAGAAAGTCGATGCCTTCATTTGAATTTGATAGTGCTGGTGATGGCATTATCATCTTGATTTAAACCATTCACCAGCTCTGTATCTCAGCTCTGGTCTCAATACCCTGAGCTGCTGAGGCATAGAATCTCAGCATTACAGGTGACATGTTTTCACCTAGGGCCATCAATAGTTTGAACAGGAATCCTGATTCTAATGGACTGAACAAAGGGTCAACCAGCCTTTGCTTGAGAATCACTAGCAAGCAAGAACTCACTATTTCCTACACAGTTGGATGGACTTCTGGAGAATTTTAATAGTTGGTAAGTCTTTCCTTACATGAAGTCTCTATTTGTCAATTTGTAAGTTCTACCTATGGTTCCTACTTCTACCTTCTTAGATCCAGCAGTACTATGCCTGGCAGAAGGTAAGCCATTAGAGGAAAGGGGTGTTTCATTTGAGTCTTTATATGCTAAGCATAGAACTGAGGGTGCACAGTGGGAGCATTATATGTGTTCTTTAAAGTGAATTGAATTCCCCATAATAGACCTCCACATGCTTAAATAATTAACAGATCTTGTTCAGGGGTTCTGTTGTCTTCAATATGCTACTGTCTGACCTGTTGCTGATCTGTGAGGAAGTCATGCAAATCCAATAGGGGGAAAGGAGAGACAGCTCCTGAGCAAGCTGCAGGGATGGGAAAGCAAGCCTGGTCTGAAAGCATGGCAATTCTTGTACTTTACCTTGGACCTCAGGATGTTTCAGAATGAGCAGCAGGCCATATCTTATGGTGCTGTTGGTTGTCTCTGTTCCTGCACTAAATAAATCTACTCCTGTCATTTTTAGATTTTCCAAGTCAAATTCAGACTGGGGATTATCTTTCTCCTAAAGAGAAATACAAAATAGATTAAGTAATGAGAGACAGCAGGGAAAGCCATTAGTAACCATGTGAAGTTCTTAAAGTTTGTCCTAGGAGCCCTCCCCCACCTTCATTTCCCTACTCTAAGACAGAATAACCTTCCTAATGCTCTTGGGTTTCCCTTACCCATCCATAGGCGTACTTTTCCCAGGCAAACTTCTTCTCATCCAGAAACATGACATAGTGAATAGAGCACTAGGCTTTGAATCAGGAAGATCTGAATTAAACTTTATTCTCAGCTAAGGGGTCTGTGTCCATGGGAAAGTCACTTAATTTTTCTGGGCCTCACTTTCCTCATATGTAACAGGAGAGAGCTGGATCCTTTCAGCTCTCTATTTATTATCTACGATATATGTGTCATGGTGAGAACCTGATAAAGTAAGTCACTTAAAAAGTTTATAACCTGCTAAGAGACCTGCTAAGAGACAGATACTTTTACTACAAAGCAGGACAGCATTTTAGTTTAAAAGAAACAAAAAGAAGAAGGGATTTCAGATTTTCAGAACAGGGAACTGAGAGAAAAGTCTTCGGGCAGGAGAATACAGAATTTCAAATTTTGTAGGGAGAAGGAAATTCAACCAGCCAATCTGTAACTGATCAGAAGTTTCCTTTTCAACATCTCCTTTAAATGGTCAGCCAGCCCCAGGTTGAAGATTTCCTTACATGGGGAATTTATTACTTAATGAAGAAATGTATTACATCTTGGACATTATTCCCTTGTGTGGAGATTAAATGTGTCTCTGTAACTTCAAATGACTTGTGAGTTCTGTCTTCTGGGAAATGAGGAAGCACAGGAATTCTAACCCTTTTCTGGGACAGCCCTTAAAATTAGGTGGCTGCTAAGACTCCTTCCAACCCATAGATTCTATGAAATTCTATGAAATACGCAAGCTCCTAGGATTTATAGCTAGGACACATCTTGGAGATCAACTGGCCAAGCACATTCATTTTAAAGAAAAAGAACTTGAGGCCTACAGAGGTGAAACAATAATATTAAAATCAAAGCAGATTGAGTTATAGTACTAAATAAGTAATCCTGCAAATACAAGCTTCATCCTGAATAAAATAAGATGGACTTACAGCCATCAGTCTTGTAAAAATGAACAATTTTGAAAGATTTATGAACTCATGTCAATTCAACTAGCAAACATGAGCACAGAGACTAATGATGAAGAATGGTACCTGCCTTCTGAGAGAGAATTCATGGACTAGTATGTAGAAAGGGACACATTTTGGACAATGGCCAATATAGAAATGTATTTTCTTCATTATGCTTGTTTGTTAAGAAGGTTATTATTTGTCTTTTTTCATTGGGTGGTAGAAAATAAATATTTGATAAAAGAAGACAGACTTCAAGAGAAAAGGGTGGGTTTCAGGCATTTCCTAAAAAACAGAAACTCAACATGAGTCAATTATTTGACCTGCAAAACTTCAAACAGGACAGGCATAAAGTAAATAAATTAATGAGAAAAGATAAAGCAATGGAATCAATACTCTCATGCTTTTATGTCAGCTTACACTATTTTTAAAAAATCTCCCATTGGCCAGGGCCCTGGAAAAAAAACTAAAAATTGCAGAGGCAATAGAAACAGAGTGGCAATATATCGAGGGAGGGTGTTAAAAAGTTCTTAAGGATAACTTCATTTCAACCTGAAAGAAAGTCTCTAGTGAACAGTTCAATGATGTACGCCTGGTTCTGTAGTGTTTAACATTTTTGTCAGTATATGAAATCAGTCAATCAACAAGGAAGTATCAAATGTATTTTCTGTGCCAAGCAGAATGCCAGGTAATGGCGATAAAAGCAAAGGATAAAACTAAGACAGCCCCTACCCTCTGGGAGTTTCGATTCTACTGAAGGAATACAATACATATAAATATAAGTACACATGGGATCCATGGAAAATACATACACAGAGATTTGGAGGTGGGATATTAACAACAGGAAGAATAAGAGAAGCTGCTTGAAAGAGGCAGCAGCTGAGTGTGAACGGATATTAGGGCTGCTAAGAGTTGAGGAAAGAGAGTGAGAGCATTCCAGGGAGGGGGGCCAGACTGTATAAAGGTAAAGAGGCAAAAGATGGAATATTGTGTACAAAGAAGAGCAAGCAGGGCAGCTTGGCTGGGCACAGAGGGAGGCTGTGAGAGGGAAGAATGTGTAAGCAGCCTAGAAAGAGAGGCTGCAGCCAAATTGTGAAGGGCTTTAAATGCCAAATACATGAGTTAGTGTTTTCTCTTAGGAGCCCTGAAGCTTCCTATCATGGGAATAACCCAGAGAGTCTTGCACTTTATGCATGTTAACTTGGCAGATTTGTGAAGAATGGATTGAGGGTCTGGATGCTTGGAGAGCTGGTAGGAGAGAATTGTCACTGTCTGGGTAAGAGATGCTGGTGATCTGAACTAAGGTGGTTATGATGTGAATACAGAGAGGAAAGAGTTCATGACACTGCCATGATGGTGTTGGGGGGAGAGAACACATTTACTCTCTCCTCCCCACCTCCAGCCCTGAATTCTCATGACTTACTTGGACAATCAAGAAAGATCTTGATTTTGAGTGATTTTATGAGAGAAAATTATAGCTAGATTTTGAGATTATAGCTAGTATTTATACAATGTTTTAAAGTTCACCACGTCCTTTAGCAACATTATCTTAATGACCATTCTGGGAGATAAATGCTATTATCCCCATTTTACAAATGAGGAATATGACTTCCCCAGGATTACACAGCTAAGAAGTGTCTGAATTTGGTTTCAAACTCAAGTCTTTTTGACTCCAAGCCCTGCTCTGCATCCCATTTCTCCTGTTTAGAGCTTACTTTGTATACATTTGCTTACATATACTCTCCCTCATAAGATTGTGAACTCTTTGAGGGCAGGGGTTCTTTTTTGCCTCTTTTCTGTCTTTGGCACTTAGCAGAGTGCCTGGCATATAGTAGTTGCTTGGTAAATGTTTATTAGTCGATTCCTATTATCACTCTCCAATACAATATCCCCTTCCAAACAGGAAAGTCCAGATCACCAGCTCATCACCCAGAAAAGCAGAACTCTTCCAATCTCATTTTCCATACAGACTTCAGATCAGGGATATGGGCAGACCAAAGACCAGTTACTAGAAAGCCAATGGTGTCCTTGGGGGATGTGGGCACTTTGGGGTTCTCTCTGATGCCCCTTCCTGTGCTTGTGGCCTGTAAGAATCCTTGGAATATCAGTCTTACTCAACAAGTAAGGTGCTTCCCCCATGCATCTTACCTGCTGCATTTTGGAGAGGTAGTAGTCAATGTAGTCCTGAGGGTTGTTGGGGTCCAGTACCTTCTGATGCTCCTTCACTCTTTCCAAAATGAAATCTTTAAGTTCCTCATTAATTTTTAAAATTCTTTTGTGTTCTCCAGGGAGGTATGCTCTGAATGCTGGTAAAAAGTTGTAGAGCGACATACACCTACCCCGCACCCAAACAAACACGTGTGAGTTTATTGTCATGAAGAAACTATTTAAAATCTCTAATTATAAATTGTTGTATCTTATTCAAAGCATTGCATTTCTTTTTCAAATTTAATTAAATTTTTCATTGACAGAAGTATTTTCTCTCTCATCTCCACTGAACATTGGTACAAACAAAAAAGAAAAGCAAAACCGTAGAAACAAATACACGTAATCAAGCAAAACCCACCTTGGCAATAGCCAAAAATGTATGTCCCACTCTACATCTTGAGTCCATTCCCTTCTCTCTCATAAGGTGGGCAGCATGGTTCATTGTGCTTCCTCTGAAATCATCGTGGCTCCTTGCACTGTTAGCTTACATTTGCATGGTATTTGTCCTTCCAGTGTTTTTGTTATTGAACAAATTGATTATTCTGTCTTTGCTGTAGTTGTTCAGTTGTTTCAGTCGTATTTGGCTCTGTGACCCCATTTGGGATTTTCTTGGCAAAGATATTGGAGTGCTTTATCATTGCCTCCTCCAGCTCATTTTACAGAGACATACAGGGTTAGGTGACTTGCCTAGGATCATACAGCTACTTTGAGGCCAAATTTTAACTCATAAAGATGTCTTCCTGATTTTAGGCCTGGTACTCTGTCCATTGTATTCCCCATTGAAGTGACTTTCCAAGGGTCATACAACTGTTCTTCCTGCCTCAAATTCTAGCCCTCTATTCATTGAATTCCTTTCTGTCTCTAAATCTTGTGATCCCTCAATCCAAGGAGCCATCAAAGGAATAGCCTTCTTAGACACTTGGGAGTAGTGAGCTGCTCTGCATAAATCCCAAGAGTGCCATGAATCTTCTCAAATATACCCCTAAGTTGACACATATCTCAAAACGAATCTATCTGGTGCTGCTCTACCCACTGAGGGGACCAGATGGCATCATATTATGTCGTTGTTCAAAAGAAGCTCATATTTGAGTTAAGAGGAAACCTACTTTCCTTGGAATGACCAACATAAAAAAAGAAGAAAAAGCAACATCAAGGTATCCAATTAATTGCATTAAATTCACCTTAAGTTAATGAAATGCATCGAGCATTTTTTCAGTACTCACTATGAACCAAGTCCTGTGGTAGGCTATGGTGATATAGACAACAATAAAGTAGTCTTACATTCTACCAGAGAAGGTTTAGCTAGAGTACCTATTCCAGACTGTAAGTGCAACAGAACATAGGCAAGGGAAAAGAAAGCTTGTTTTTCAGCTGGATGAGGATCTTCAGTTCTGGCTTCAGTGGATGAAGGTTTTCATCCTACATGTCCATCCATTGTAGAGGCCGAGCCAGATCACTACAAGAATCAGTGTAGGCTACTGATCTAAGTGGCTTGCCCTTCCTATTCTCTCCTGGATATCCTGGGCAGGTTCTTTTTTGATAACTATTTTACTTGGTCACATCTGTGAAGAGATACCCAGGCCCCAATTAAACACTTCTCCATATAACTTCAATTTTAATGATCTACAACTAGTGCAGGTGCCAACTAGGAACAGAATATCTACCTAATATCTTATTTGAGAGCCAAAGATACTGCGTGATGTTATTGTCCTTGAGTGACATGTGTGTGTGAATGTGTGTGTGTGTGTTCATCATGGTCTGTGGTGTCAAGAGATGAGAGGCTCTATGGTATATTGATCTTG